AATATCACACCAATACAAAAAGGGCACGCTCAAATATCAACCTATTTCTTGTACTGTGACAGCCCTAAAATAGTTCTTGTGAAGATGCTAACACAACAGAAGTCAACTGATTCACTTTAATTTGCCTACCAAAGTTCGAGGTCACCCCAAGACTCAGTAGCCTGCCTTGTGCAATCGGTTCTGTCATCCTTGGACAATAGAATCAAGTGCCCTGAGTCTGCTTTCTCAACTACTGCAACGCATCCGGCTGTGTACACCGCGAATTGCTGCTTAAATATCTACTCGGTACTGGAATACATCCCTTCATCGTCCATCGTTTGAGGGATTATTCTACCGGTTGTATTCAGGTTACCGGATTTGGGGGGCTGTAGCTCCTCCTCCCTAATTCAAGCACAGGGGTTCTTCAGAGAGCTATTTCGTCAACATTTCTCTTTTCAAACTATTTGAGCTCAGTCCCAGTCGCAGAAGAAGCAACTGTGCTGAAATACTCAGATGACATTGTCCTGGGCGTCAATCAATCGGTGACTAGCTCTTCAGGGAGATTGCAAGGTAATCTTAACAATCTTACCGTTTGGTCAAAGGCTCGCGAGCTGCCGCTCAACGTGTCAAAATGCAATGCTGTCATTTTTGCATTGCACAAAGGTGATTGATATCAACAGATTCTCCAACACTGCCCGGGACTCAACATCGATGGTGTGAGTTTGCACTTTTCCACATCGGTAAAGTATTTGGGCATTTTGCTAAGCCACGACCTATCTTGGTCACACCATATAAAGGAAACGTTCGCAAAACTACGGGTGATCGTTCTATGCCTCATACCTGTGCGCTTCCTCTGTCCCCTAATATTGGACACTTGCTTTTTCACACTGGGCCTCCTGCCCACCGACAATATTTCCTGGTCTGTTGGGCAAGGACTTTAGGTTACTTTACAGGTCGTTAATACACTTGTCGCGGTGCAGCGGTGTATCGAAGCTGCCGTTCGTTGATATACTTGTAGCAATTCGTGTTGGTTCTTGCAAGAGACTAGCATCAACAGTATGTGCTGACACAAGTCACCCCCTACATTGTGTATTGTCTGAAGGTGTGCCAACTTTGTCAACCAGACGGAAGTATAAATCCATAAGCTGCTGACTGGCGGTGCAAGCCGCTGGTGATCGCGGGTTCGAATACTGATGGATCCCATGGATGCGCACTGCTGATGATGCCCACCAGGCTGAAACTGCAGTTTAGGGCTCTTCCGGGTATGTGGGTGACTATCTGATTTAGAACTAGCTGCGACGCACCCACAATTAACAAAGCCAAATATGTCCCTACAGGAGCGTACCGTTCGTTAATTATTCCCTATCTAGCGCGATTTCCGCTAGACCGAAGGGAAGTTGTTTAAGAAGTAACAAACCGGTTTTTGCTATGATGGCATTGTTCTTTCTCAAGTATTGATCCGCTTCTTTGAATTTAATGCTATATCGCTGAAAGGGTGTGTGGTACGGCTGAATATTCACCCGTTCTGGGTGTAATAAGCAATTCCTTGACTTAAATTGGCTTGAAGATAGCTTGGCACACTGCCACATGAACATAGCCAATTCATCCGCCGTCATAATCAGAGCTATTTGATGTCCGTGTATATGGATTCCGAAATCCACTATTTCGAGAAATAGCACATCAAACTTTTCGAAAGATTCACAAGCCGGTATGCACTTGAGTTTACTGGAGTCTAGTGTTCAAAGCAGAGGTTGCTCAACAAGCACTAGATCCTCGAAGTCGCTTACGAAGCATGCCAAACAGGCTCTTGAAGTTACACTGCAGATGTTGCTTAGTATGAGAACGAAACGTCTGTAAACAAATCATTCAGATCGGAGAATAATGAAAGACCCACAGATTGCTTTACTTATTGAGCACACATAGGTTGATGTTGCAAATCGCACCCTAACCACCCTACTACACATGTCAACTGTGCGCTTTGCTCGTAACCAATTACTATTTGATTATAGCCGTGGCAACTGGGTAGCACTAGAAGAATAAGGCCACCGGTAGGCATTGATTCATCATGGGTGTGTGGCATTAGCAAGTCCCGGCCTGCGTCTTCCCTACTTACTGATTCCTTTCGTCTCACTTTTAAGCACCGGAAGAATCGAAGTGCCCAAAGTATATGAAAGGGTTAACTTGCAGTACGAGTGATGACTGGCTTAGCTCACTTGTGGTTATTCTACTACAATGAATTGATACGTCCCTGTTACTGGCTAGCGCCAAATACCCAAGGAAAGTTGCCTAATAGTTCACGTAACTTGCTGCTTGTGTCACTCCGGATGATTACAGCCGGCGAAGGTTACTTCAGTGCCATTAAAGCCAGTGTAGCTTCTCAGAGTCTCAGTCACTTACGGTGACTGCGTGATTCTAGCCTGTCAGTGATAGATAAGATGAACAAAGTTGTACTAAGGCTAGCTTTACTGCGTGGATAATAAACGGTCTCTTGGCATTGAAGATATTAACATGTTTCACTTACAGTAATGTTAAGACACCAAAACCAAAATCTACTTCCACGTCTGTCTCGCCTGAATGTTCAGACATGACTCACCATCCGGTGACGGGTGGTTCCAACGAGACCGTGTATCGAATTAAGCAGAATTTTCGATTGGAAGCAGAAGTTTATTGTGCAACTCATGTTAAGTTGAACTCGGAAGCTTTCAACCGATATCTGTGTAGTAAGATTTTGTGTACACTTACGTTAACCAGTCCCATCTTCTGGTCGACAATCTTCTTGATTCTTCCAACGGCCTTGTCAAGGAAAGCAAATGCAACTTCCTCCGAAATGTCCAGTGGGGTGAACTTCGAATGCTCATAGACCTGTAATTGGCGCATCATTCATATGAACAGAAGTGTGCAATGATCACTGAAATCACTTTTATAAACCAATGTAAAGTAAATAAACAGTTACGTACTTAAAGAGCAGGGTATCAAAGGATCATGGCTATTCACTGGAGGTTTTGAGCGTGATGACAGCCAACCGTATATACACGTGAGAGCAATTTTCTGGCACAATCCTACATGAATGGCCGTAAATTTGCTTACTTTAAACTAAGGATCGGAATAGGAGAGCAATCACTATCATGATAATAAGTGTTGTAACCTGTTTCACACAGAGGTATATTGTTGTTGAGCAAATAGACTCACTTTATCACTCATGGGCCAAACTGACCCATGGTGCATTTAGGGTCGCTTTGGTTCGATTGTGGCTCACTGGATGCTTGCGAAAGAACGCAAACTAATGATGCTACCACACTTTAAAAGTAAGCCGGTTGCGTTTGCGGGGAAGGCTGTGTGCCTGAACTGATATTCTTGTACTAAGGACCACTTTAAAAACATCACGGATGCGTAATAGTCAAGATTGACAAAGAAGCAATATCGGACCCAAGTGTACCGCGAACGCCCGTGTCCCTCACAAAGCACATAACTGTATCGAGCAGTGCCCTTGGTCGTCTTGAAGGTAACCCCTACCAGATTATGTAATCCGTGAATGTCATACAAACTCAATGTGCAGGTTGTGGGTAAGAATTCGGTGTCATTTAGCTCCGTAAAACTGGCCTATCTCTATATTTCACAGCGTAGTGATCAGGTTTTAAAACCATAGGCTTTGGTTGAGCACCATAATAACACCACTACTTAGGAGTGCGCTCCCCGACATTATTACCACCTACGTGGGTTGATAAATTTGTCGGCAATCTACTGCCTCGTTGTCTGCAGTACGTGTATTCAAGACTACCGTGAGGGCCATTTTTCGCAGCCTGTGTGAGATCTGGACCCGCGGGATGTGTGAACTCCAAATAGAACTTTGACAGTTTAACCAAATTGGACTACAAAAGCCCTTTCCCACTTTCCAAACAGAATTTTACAAATGTGTGGGTTGAATGTCGGCACGATTAAACAGTTAGCATTTTTACTTCACGCCTTTGACATATCCTTCCTCCTTAATGTCAACTATTTCACCTTGGACAGATTGCTGATTAGCGAGCTGCCACACTGTAGAGCCTACGTACGCTGCCACATAACTTACTGTGTCTTCTCTTTTTCAATACAACTGCAAATAGATTCGTAGGTTGTTTACTACTTTTAATTTGAACTATAATATCACGGTAACAGGAAATTTTTATTTATTTCTTCTGCATAAACCGTGTGCATACTTTAGGTTTATGAGCCTACAGTTTGCCGATGCTGTCTCGTGCGCTCAACTTAGTCCAGATTTCGTATCTCGAACTGGAGAGGGAATCTCAAACACTATCAAGACCTTGCTCATCGCTGTCTGCGAAGTACTGCTGGAGTATGGTGACATCAGCACGGTAGGAACGATGACGGAGCTATGCGAATAGTAGTCGGTGATAGTCAAGTAGGTTCCTTAGCGCAACTTACTGTGTTGCATAAGCTGTATGCAGTGTTTAAAAAGAACATCTTGCTTTGTATGCCAGTGTTAGGCTAGCACAGCTTCGTTGGCTACGAAGATAGTCTTTGCAGCGAGAAACAAAGTTGCTAGCAAGGCGGCTAGATGCTATTAGTCCAGCCCGTCTTCCAGGCAGGAGCGCTCAAGACCCACTTCGAGTTTGAGTCTAATACCTACGGGGCACATGTCGCAGTCTGCATCAGTAATGCGTTTTCTGTCATCTCTTAGTCGGACTCTCTGCTTAAGTTTTGTATGAGGTTAAATTATCCGCGATTGAAGGGCATAATGAAGAGGAGCCCTGAAAGTCTCAAGAAAACTGACCTGTTAATGCCGCCTTAGCTTCAGATGATAGCCATATGTTGATGGCCGCGTGCTTTTGGGAGTGCAAGCGTTTTGATCCTGATTGGTTGCCATGACATGAAGCTTGTGCGGCAGGTTTCTTTCAGCCTCTTTAATTACACATTAATAACATGGTCAAGTTTATGCTGCAAACACCCTTTCAGGACAACAGCTTAAGCGCTGTCTGTGTTCGCCGATTATTTATTCGCTAGGGTACGAAATGTTGTATGCTAGTTTGGTCATAAACCCTAGAAATTATTTCGAATTATTTCACCCTTTCAGGACGAGCAGCAGGTACCTGAACCAGTTATGTGATGGATCACTGTCCTGCAACTGTCTCACGAATTCCAAAGTGTGCTTGCGTATGGTGATTCCGAAACACAAAAAACTGTCCTCCGGCAATTTGGGGTGTGAAGGTTGATGGCCAAACTAGAAGGGACTGACAACACGTTTTGTTGGGCGGCGTTTTTCCAAGCGTCTTCTGTCAGTAGACAAATATCCCAGACATTTGCAGTTTTCTCGAGTTCCAAAAGCACACACGTATCGTGATATTTTCATCAGGACAGTTTTGCGCAACCCGAAAAACTACTCTTATCCGTGTCGGTTTGTACCAAATCAGATTAGATTGCAATGTACACCACCTAAATGGATAAGATGTACCACGCATAATTTTCGCCTCGGTCCAGAGCGAGCACGTTTTCAGTGCTTTAGCCAATGAATGCGAGCAATTTCACATGGATTCTGCGTGATCTGGAAGTCGCGTGAAATTCAACAGGATCGGCTCTTTATTTCCACCTGTCCGACAAACTTACAGCATGCGTCTACCCGAATGTCTGACAGAGAAATTAACCGACGGTATTAACTGTTTGCTTACCGGATATAATGAATTGTGAATAAAAGTTCTAGATTGCGGTATCCCTGCTGGAAAGACCATTGCAGCCAGGACATGAATAAGATTCTTACCGACGTTTTGTACGATACAAACCCTCTAAGTTCACTATTGTACCCTAATAAAAGGGTACCACGTTATTAGAAGCACGCATGTAGCTAACTAAAATCTGATTGCCATTTTAATTCGGTAAGTTGATCGGTCAACCCTTAACATTCATTTCACCCAATCAAAAGTGGTTTAACTATAGAACTGTAACGAGTTTGGTTGCAAGAGAAGATAACTCGTAGGGAAAAAACTTTTAACATGATGAAGTAACATAGATAGGAAGCAAAATATTAAAAGTATTAATATTAAAGATATAAGATGAACCACAAGGAATGGGTGACGCATGGGAATGAAAAAATCTTGTCGAAGAGAGACACCGGCTTTTCTACCGTGTCTTGTTCAAACTAGTTGTCGACCATTAACGTGTTTGATCCAAACATCCCATTCCAGGATTATGGATCACCACTTCAAATCTCCGCAATGTAATTCGCCACTAACTAGATAAAATATCAGTGAATAACATGAACTGAGGTTTGTAGTAGACTGGCATATAGTATGTGTGACTTGGCCAGCTTAGGCGATCGAAGAAAGTCTGTTAGTATGTATTAGCTATCTGACTCCAACAGGTATTGGAAATATCACGTAGATATCGCACGGCAAGACCACAAGTCCCGCAACGTTGTGTAAGCACATCAGCCACTAGATATATTGTAACGCTGTGCACCATAGCCTTGAAAAGTAGTCTGGTCTCTTACCATCTCTGCGACCGTAACTAACAAAAGCAACACGGATATCCGCAGCTACCACTGTTTAGGTTACCAAACTAGCTAAATAAGTGCGACGAGCGGTCATTTCCGGCGGCTGTGCACTGATAATAAAAACCGCTGACGCGATGACTCATAGTTGTAACACTGCTCTTTGCGCTTCAAGTGTAAAACCTATAATGGACTGGACAGATTTTGTGCAGACATATTCAGCTGCGGTTGTTTACGTGCAGTCCCTTTTATCCAGCTGGCCATTCCGCAAACACATCAGCAGTCTAATTGTCAGTCACTCAAAGAAACCATTTCTCCAAGAGAAATAAAAAGGATACAGCTTGGGATATTCCCCATCGTTTTGATCGCAAAGTTGCAGAGAGAGAGATGGGGAGACAAAAGGGTCCCCATGGGCACCACTTGAAATGTCAAAGTCGGTGGGCAGCTTCAATGTGATCTATATTTGGTCGCGGCAGTCGCTGTATAGAGGCATTAGACTACAAAGCGACTTGAACTACAGACACTTCAAGGATAACCAGCAACATAAGAAGACGTTACCAAGTGAGCCAAGACGGCTCATGAGCTGAAGAATTAAGTCATAGGGATCCGTTTAAATGTTGCACAGTGAGCATGTCCGCGGCGAGCAATATAAATGCGGTCGATACGTATTGCAGGAGAAGGAACCGAAATTGTCGCAGATTCCTCTTCCACAAAATCGGTGAGACTCCACACTTATGCATGTGAGCGCTTTGAATGTGTGATAAAGTGGATAAGAGCTCTATGAGGTGGCAGAAAGTGTCACTGTCTCAAAGAGAAATATATGTAACTATGCATCCTGTCCGCACAAACGAATTCGTTAATGGTTCAGTTTTGTCCTTTCCTTAGAGACAAAATTGGCCTGATGATTATTACAATAGTGAAATTGCCACTCAAAAACAAGCTTTACATATCAAATGCTTACCGTTTGTAAGTATTCCTGACCGGTTATTGACTGCAGTTCACTGAAGGCTTTTTCGAACTCGTCTGCCCACAAACGAAAGCTGCAAAGCATATAATGACTAGTAGTCTCACAGTGCTGCAGTAAATGTAACATGTAAACATTTTGTTTCATTGGGCCGATTTGAACTTGTTCAGCTACGAGTTAAGTAAATGTTCTTACTGTACACCCGATTTCATTGTTGATAAACATTTATACATAGGTAAAACTTTATACACGGAGATCAAAATATACTGAGAACTTGGACGTTTTAAAGCTAGCTTTCTGTAGCGGTGATTAAGTCACATAATAAACACAACAAAAGAGGTGCAGCTGGTCCACTGCGAATGACCTGTGATTATACAAATACGTCGTCAACTACAGTTGGTTTGGGCAATGAGAAAAGGTGGGTACGCAGGCAGTTTTAGGAAGTCTTAAAGTTCCAGGATGATAGCTACTTTAGTGACATGATTTTAAAGGGCGAACGGAGGTATGTGCATCAAACATGCTCAATTTCACCACACACCTTGACTGGATACACTTATTGGGACACGCAGTTATTCTATATGTCCTGCGCAACTCGCAAATGAACTGGTAACAAGTGTTTCCAACCACGCAAACTATATTTCGTTTTTCCATGACCGTTCACGTCTTATCGGTTTTGCCATCCAACCTGAGGCTAGTTAATCTCAACCATTTAAATAAATTGTGGCCTCTCCGGGACCTCGTACAGTTGCTTCTCAACTCATGAGCAGTAAGTGGGCTCGGTTGCTCCATTAGACAATCCGAGCGATATGTTGTCGGAAGAAAAACCAGATTTTGCTCATCTGCTTAGAAATGCGTTGGTAGCAAATTCGTACTTATGGCACACATTGCAGGACGGCTTGCGAAACATCATGGCTGAACCACCGCTTGGTGTGAAACAGTAGATTATATCTAACATACCGGTTATTATAAAGGCTTCGTTGGAAGCGATGAGCCTGGTTCTGACAAATTTTCCGTTACGCGTTGCGTGTACTTGCGTAGCCATCGTCGCTACCGTATACAATTCCTGAATCCTGCTATGCACAACGCGAACTTGATCTCTGGACGTACTACATGCAAATGTAGTGACAAAGTCACCTGGTGCCAAGTTCCGAGAATTCCTAGATCATTTTTGTTGCGACGCAAGAAAGGAAGTGCTCAATGACTGTTCCTTGTTGACCGTCGTTCCCAGCTTTATAAAAGGTCAAAGGATGTCTAGCATAAAACTGGGTTATTAGCTTGTTCTCTTTTGAATCCAAACTACCCACGTTTATCATGTTGCTGTGGCTCGATAATCCTAGCAAGAAACAAACCAATGAAAGTCAGGTCGACTGCGAGCCCATAGAGAGAGCATGGAACACACTTTTCGTTTCACATCATCATCATCAGCATCATTCGTCCTATAGAGAGCCCGTCACAATATTTTCCTCGTTAAAATTTATTCTGGTTTCTGTTGAACAGACCTGTTTGTGATTGAGCTTATCCTTAATGGCGCAAAGGAACTATTTCCTTCCATTCCACAACTCCCATATCACGGTTCTGTGGCTGTGCAAAGGTGTACAGAAAACTCGTGGCGTCCGTTTAACCAGATCACTCGATTTACTTTTACCTGGTGATCATGTTAACCATGAATGACTCGACTCTGCCTTCTTTTGCTTCCCTTTCTGTCGAAGTTTCAATGGACGACTGACCGTCAGAATTGGAGAGGTAAGCCATCCAGTACCTATCGGAGTGTCTGTTGAAGTCGATACGCCTCCGCGCGCTAAGCCATGCAAGCCCCGTCCCGTGCTGGGCATTATTTGTCAACACAATCACATTTTTCTGGTGGACGACATCAAATTTCACTACGGAGGAACCCAAGACTATTATGATGAGCACTTGAAAGTGGAATTACATAATCTAACGGTTCGCTTACCATTTTTCAAAGACGCCACTTTAAACTGGACCTCCTGTCCACGGACTGGTTCCCATGGTGAGTCGTGACATCATGCAACAATGGTGCTCAACTACGTCTGTCATGTAAAATTTTCCGAAGAAAAGGCGCCGATTCATTACGGATTACAACATACCGACTACCCTCACTGACTCACCTGACTTGTTATTCCTAGCTGAACTGTCCTCTGATGTCACCTTGTGGGATTTGTCAATCAGTTCAACAAGGTATTAACGAGTTCATCGAGAAACAGGCCATTACACTATATGAAAGTACAGTCCTGAATACGCATGAGGACAAGCAAGTGTATTTATGTGGTTAACGTATGTGGATTCACCGAGCGCTGCAACTTATGATTCTATATCACTAAACGAATTGCTGCGCCAACATGGTACGTGATGATAAGAGATAGCAGCAACTAGATCTAGTTATGAAATTCTGTTCAAATCCAACACTACTTCACAGGCATGTCAACAAACCCAGCAAATTGCAGCGCGGGATTTGTGCCCTACACACATAATGTGGACAAGCACAAAAAGTAAGTGAAGCGGCCAACGTCCTAATTCACTGATTCTTCCCGAGATTCTATAGTACGGCTTCAAATCTATGTTGCTCGTGTTGCTTATGCCACCAACAGAGCTTAGCTGTATCATGTTCAACGCTTCTGAGATGATGAGAGGTCAATGTCCTCGCACGAGTATAGCTGTCTTGGTCTTAACGATATCCGAAAAAAGCACCAAAGTTGACCGCCATGAATATTGCTGAGCCGCCCTCTCAGTTTTCCCAACGAGGTCTCAAAGAGATCGTGGTCCTAACGATGTGGAAGCACGACATCGCCACTCCCGTTCGCAATGGGGAAAATGTGCAAATCCGGCAGCTGCCGCCAGGTAACACTGCGATGCTTTTTAAAGTCCTGTAGCTAAATGAAGCGGTAGTTCTCATGAGTCAATTGGAGCGACCCACTATTATTCCATACGAACAGAATGCATTCCGCTCAGATCACATCTTGCATCACAAATGTATTAACTGCTCGCTGCACTTGAACTGAAAGTGTCAATGCCATTGTGGGAACTAGGCCTCACAAAAGCATTCGACCGTCTGAATCACTACATTTTTCTTTACCCGATTCATAGCAACGAAATCTGTAATTTGCTCCTTAAATGCATGGGAAATTTACTCCGTCTACGACTGCTGAAGGTGAGAGTTCTCAGACGGATAAAGGACCCATTTTAAGTTTATTGCGACATAACACACGGTTCAGTACTTGTTCCACGTATATGCTTGCTGTATATAGACGATCTCGAGAGAGTATCCACCTCAGCTCTCTTACTCTTAACTGATGACCTCAGCACATGGCAGACCATCAAAAAAGTGGGTATAAACGCTACACCACAGGATGATATCGACTGGGTATATGAGTCGACCACTCAGAAGCTGCTTCATCTCAACTTGGTCAAGTTTATGGCGTGGGCATACTTGGGAGTACGGGCGGGGTGAACAAGCTGTGCACCGCACTTCTGTTGAATGTGAAAGAGAAGCGCTGGTAAAGGACGATCTTAGCCGTTCAGGTGAGACCGAAATAGTTCCAGAACCCGGACAACATCCCTGACAAATGAAGGGAATTTCCGGGTTTGCTGATTATTTCATCATCCAAATTCTCAAGGCTCATATTAATCCGTTCAGAAAACATCATCCACGCCTAACAGCCGAAACATAAGGGTGATCTCACTGCACGCAAGAGTTCACAAGGTAGAGAGACTAAGAATACAATGGGATTGTTCCATCTTCCTTACCAACATGACCTAAATCAACCTGTAGGGCTACAGTGGACCTTATCGGCGTCTGCGTGGCAGGTTGACAAAGATTTATCAAATTTTAAAGAATGCCAAACAGTTTGCCCTTAAATATTCAGAGGGAACCACTGAACGACACTGAAATTCCACTAGCTAAAGTTGGTCACACAGCAGAATTCGATCCGGTCGTCGTCGAGTTTTTCCCCTACTGTCAAGCTAACCATTTCCTTCCTCTAATTTTGGATCACACCACATCGGACAAACAGAGCAAGTCTCTCCTCGGTGGATGTGTATGTATATATATAGTACCCGGTTGAAATGCCGATAGGATTTTCTCTCTTTTTGTATTCCAACTGTGGAATACCCTCCCCACTCACTTTATCTCTTCCTTACCCTACCGGTATTCATAATAGGTCTTGATGACGCTCTCATACATCAACAACACCAGATCTAGCTCTTTTTAACTGGGGCCGAGGTAACGCAAAGAATTGATGTACTCATTTTGATTTTCTGGAGAGCTCACCCGGACTTGCTTTATTTCCTTGACTTCGCTTTGTATTGGTAATTATTAAATCTTGCAACACACGGGACCTATCAATCATTAGCTTTTTTACCCGTAATAAAATTGTTCTCATTGTTTTTATTGGGTGCGATCCTTAGGTATGTAGCTGTAACATGGAAAACTGCATGAAGAAACTCAAAACGGTGTTGTATTGTTGTCATACTCATGGATGGAGGTCTCGGGACTAACCACATTGGCGGTCGGATGCTACATTAGGTAAAGCGGGGTCAAAATGTGACCTGTTACGAATTGGCAGATCCTTGTTCCTTGGATACCATGAGACTGCGTCCACAAGAGTAGGACAGAGACACATGGCAACATGTACACCACCGACTGCTCGCCAGACTAACATCAGTTCATTTATGGTAAGGGCAAGGTACGCCCAGAAATAGGTATTTCGGCATGTACTGCACTCAAGTAGTATCCCTCACAAAGATAGCAACAACACACTAAATGTGGCTGAACATAGGACAGATCAGCCGTACTCTTAAACCTGGATACGGACTGGGGTCTAAGGTTGTGCTGAGGAGGTGATTAGCACTCTCCTTCGTTCGCTCTCTCTGACTCATCGAATTATTAAATTGCCATTGGTCGACTATGTTTACTCGTATTCGTTGAGGTAGGAATCAAGGATAAGACCAGTCGAGGTACATTGGGTCACCAGGGTCACGGTAGGTAAAAGGCGAATATAAAAGCGAAAGTTTGCCTCATAAGACAGATAAGCGGAGCTCAGTCTGGTCTCCAGTGAATTT